GTACGTCATATGCTTCGTTGATCTGATTGGTTTATTTGGCCCGTCTATCACCAACATAGGCCAATCAGCTAACCAGTATTTTCGCCCCTTAACAAAATTACTTCAACGGAGTGTTTCCAGATGGATATGTGGAGCAAATCCATCTGGCGGAGTCAGGTTACCCCGGTGATGCTATTTCATCACAGGAAGAGCAGAAGGTGATTAAAACAAGAGAGCTGGTTTAGCGTCTAAAACAGACATGGATATGAGTGGATGCTAACATGTTTGTTAGCTGTCACAAATTCAGTCAGAATTCTGGGATTACATCCAGAGTTCAGACTTTCTTTCCCATATTAAACTAAAATAATATTTAAAAATCAGTTAACTTTTGAGACTGACTAGCTGTCAGAATTTAGCGCCGTTCAGTTCTGAAGAAAAAAAGTCAGAATTCTGACTTTTATCCCTATATGAAACTGAACAAAAATTTAAAAATCAGTTAACTTTTTTTTACTTTGTTCAGTGGCCCTAATCCTCTTAAGATAATTCCATTAAATTAGTCTGCATAATATCTAATTATCAAAAGGGCAAAAATAATTATTATATTGGCAAAATCATCTTAAGGGCAACGAAACTTATTTTAAGAAACGTTCACTCATTTAATTTACTTAAGGTTTCCTTTGCAGGTTCTTTGAAAACTTGCTGAAGCTCAGTCAAACTGGATGCTTTAAACAGCTCTGTGTTGCTCCTCCTTGGTTTTATTTAAAGGTGTCAGATTTGGGGAGGATGTATACAAGTGCACAACACGCCTTTAGAAAAATCCAGTAGAAAAAAATTAGCAAAAAAGTTTACCAGTGTTTTTTTTTTTTCTTCAACTATTGTTTTTCTTTTTTTCCCCACAATTATCTTAAAATAACATTTTCCTTTTTTTATTTCTGTTTTTCTGATGTGTTTTACAGATCTGGAAAATACAGCTATAACAAAATGCAAATTGTAAAAATCTGTTTAAAAATAGAAATAAAAATAAAAAACAGAGGTGGCATATGCACAGCTAAAAAAAGCTAGACTTTTGTCACTTTTTCCTTTATTCAAATATTGATGCAGTTTGGAAGCTAATCTTTGTTTTATTTTCAATGAATTAATACTAAATACCTGTTGAGGTATTCGAGTCAAACACAAAAAACAGGAAGGAAGGTCCTTTCCATATCTGATTTATTATGGCCAGTCATGATGCCCACCTTGTCTCTGAAGAGTGCGGCGGCTCTGCTGTTGTACTTCTCCTGTAAGGTCCAGTTCGGGTCATAATCATCTTGGAGTTCTAGAAAAAGGCGGAATTTCCCATTTCCCCCAGCCTTCATTTTCTCCAGTTCAATATCTTTCCACTTGTCCATGGTGACAGAGCGTACGAAACTGAAGGGACAGAGACCAGTTATAACCGTATGCTTTGGAAGTAGACATTAAATCAACAGGAAATCATAAAGAACCTGAAAAAAACAGATCAAATAAATATCAGATGTCTATAA